CATTTTAGAGGTGCATATATTATTTGAATCTGTTGTATTTCTTGGGAATTAGAACTTTCCGGGTATGGAGCTTCTAGTTGCAAATTTAATATTCATATAACAAAACAAATAGACAACCTTTCAATTTGAGGTACTTCTGGTGCTTTTTTCTGTCACAGTATTTCCATTCTTAGTGAATGTGAGCAATGTGATTAGCTGGAAAGTACAGAGCCTCAGAACTGAAGCCCCAGGACCCTGGATGTGCTTGTGAGCAGTCTAGCAGCAGGTAGGTATGGGAGCAGCCTGACCCAGGCTCCAGCCATGGTGAAACTGCTCTCCTTCTGTGTAGGGTCATGTGCCTGTGGCTGGACTCGGTGCCAGAGGCTCCTGAGTGGGTAAGATTCCTCCTAAGGCAGGCAGCAGTGAGAGCTGCTGATTGAACTGAATGGGATCGAATGGGGACACACCCACAAGCCCTGCACTCACCTTCTAGGTGTGTTTGCCAATGGAATGTACATGTTACGATTAGGCTTCTTCATCTTCTTTACTCCTAAATGCTGCTAACACAGCCACTTCAAAACCTTTAATAGGCTCTTTGTAGAGTGGGGTCTCAAAGCTGAATAGCTCTCTTGACTTTGATAGCTGACAGCCAGCAATGGTCTGTTTGTATTTCAGGTCTTTATTGCTGCAGCACTGCTGGGGGTTTAGGCAGATTTCCTAGACCTTACATTGGGTTTGGGTAGAGTGTCTTTCCTTAAAACAACAGGAGAGAAATTATTTTCCTGTCTGTCAGAGATATCAGTGTGAGATGCATACTTTAGATTTTTTTAATCTTTTTTTTATTAGCTGTTACTAGTTGGTATCTCTAAGACCATCTTTTCACATGATTACTTTTGCTGGATGGCTTAAGTTTTTCTATTGTAACAAGAATAAAACCTTTTTTCTCTCAAGTAATTTTCTAGCCAGTAAGAAACTATTGAGTATCTTAGTGAAAGAGTCATTACATGTCTTCATGTGAGTAGCTTTTTTTCACTAAACTGGTGCATATCTACATACTATAAATGTAATTTGAATTCTTAAGGTTGTCAAAAATGAATAGCTTGCTTCTTCTTACTGTCTGAAATTTATCTGACCAAATGAAGTTCAGCATAAAGCACAGATAGGTAGTGTAACCAGCTATTGTGCAGGTGAGAAAATCTGTGATTAATTAAGTGGACCACATCTGGATGTTACCACAATCTAGTCGTGAGGGGCTGTAAATAGCATCAAAGATTTGTGAGCGTTAGGCCTGTGGACAGCAGGAAATACTTTAAAGCCAAAGAAGGATCAAATGTTTGGGTAAAAATTATGGTTATAGCTAACCACAAATCAAGTGAGAGCCATTAGAATGTTGTTTGTTATCCTGTGGTTGAATGTAAATTCTCAACATTGCTCCTTACATTCGTAAAGCAAATGAGGGTTAGGCTGCAACCTTGAAGACGTGTGAGACACTGGAGTGAGACAGGGACGCTCTGCTGGCTTTGCTGTGCTCTGCCTTGGGAGATTTTCTGACCTCTTGCTCAAGTGTAGCCATGGCTCCTGACTGCTGAACAGCCTGCTCAGTTCATTTCCACTGAAGAGCACACACCTGCACTGTCTGTACTCATACAGTAAACTGCTTCAAACACAGGCTGTGCTGGCATTTCCCTGCAGTTCTATTAAAATGGCACAGGCTGCCTATTACTCTCTAGCTCTTGTAACATCTTCATTGGTGTCTCATTTACTACCCTTCACAGAGAGAAATAAAAGCGATTATGCTTATCTCATTGTAGGAGTTAAATCTATAGGATCATATGTGAAGGTGGCCAGAGAAAAGTAGTATTGCTATGCTCAGCTTTTCTCACATTGAGGGGAGAGCCCTCCAGCCAATCTCTAAGCAGACTTGTTTAGACTTTGGAGGAAGAAACTCAGAAAAACTAGTGTCCTTCCTAATGGAGAGGAGAGAGACTTACCAAAGGCAAGAAATAAAAGTTGGGGTGAAAATATCAGAAAATGAGTGTCTGGGAAAGGAATCGAAGTCCACTAAGTGCAGACTGTAATTCTGAAAGGTGAGGAGCCAGAGCAGTATGTGCTTCCTTGTTCCTAACCTGCTGTCCCTCCTGCCTGCAGGGAAAGGATTACATGAGCTGCATGTCTGTGATACCTTACTGCCAATGCCTTATTGTCAGCTCTCCCAGTCTGAGTCTGTCCAGTGTGGCTGTTGGATACTCAGGGAAACTGAAGGCCTTGGTGAAGTCGAGGCACAGAACATCCATTCCTCTGCACTCATGTGCTGAACTGGTCAGTGAATCACAAGTTCAGGCCCAACTTGAACTTGCTATATCCATGAGGGTTGATCCCAGCCTTCTTTTTTGGTTTCTTCTTGTCCTTCCTACATTTGGAAATGACTTCCATGAGGATTGGTTTTGCAGTTTTTCTGAGGGCTGTTAGGGTGACCAACCTGCAACTGAGCCTCAGGTTCTCCTTGCCCTTCATGAAGATGGATGTGGCAGTTGCTTTATAGGCATCACCACCAATCACCATTGCCTCATCTGGTCCCAAAGATTTGTGTACATAAAATTTTCTCAGGTGCTTCCTAACTCGATCTTTCTCATTTTCCCAGACTCAGTGGGAGTGATTTAATTTTACACAAAAATTCATGTGAATGAAGAAACAATACATACTTCTGTTTGACACACTTAAATCCAAGTCTTTTAAATTTGTTAGTAAATTTTGCATTGTGAAGACCATGGAATTGATATAATTCTGCCCTGTCAAATCCATAAAGAGGCTGACTTCTGAGACTTGGCGAATTTCCAGTTGATGTCAACTTTGAAGTCAGTGAGGATTTCTTTGGAGGAAAGACATGAGGATTTGGATTAAAATATTTATTTATGATTTATAAATGAAGTCCACCTGGTAACCAGACAAGGAGAACTCATGATACAAGAAGAAATAGTTTAAGATTTCTTTTTCATGTCAGTTTGGTAGAACATTTTATTTCATTCCAAAGCAAAAGAAATCCTTGGGTTGGCTGATACATTTTTAAGAATGTATTACTGGTAACAAAGCAGCAGGAGTTGTTACTCATGTGGTAAAGGCTAACTTGAAAAGAAGTGCAATATCAACTAAATGTTTAGGTGTAAGAAATTCAATTTTTTTATCGTTTTGTAAAGACCTACATTTTCCTTTCACAAGGATTTTAAGTGCCACCTTGTGGACATCATTATTCTTGTATCTCATTATAGGACACAATAGTGAAGTAGAATAATAAAATTTAGTTGCAAAATCTGTGACAGAAATTAATTGAGGATTGGGAGATTTTGATTGATTTTCCAATATTGCTATTGATGTGCTGAAGTTGAAGTACATGCTACTGCTGGCTTCCATGGCTGTAAATAAAACCAATACTTGTTCTAATGTGAAGTCCTACTACTTTATAATATTTACAGTTCTTGCTGGAATTCCTTTGTTGATCACTCTCAGATCTTTCTCCTGAGTAAGCTATCAGTGGAATACCATAGGAATGAAACCCTGGTATTCTGACAAGCTCCTTGTGTTGTAACCCCCAGTGTCCTTGTGTTAAAGTGGCTGGATAAAATGGTTCATGCAAAGTCAGGAAGTAGCCCATGTCATTTTTGGGGGTGTGTGGATTTGCAGGGATTTCTGTGTTGGACATCCTGGAACTGAGTAGATCAGCTATGCCGTGTTTTTAAAGGGTTTGGGGAATATCGTGTCTCCAACACGTAAGTACAATGATGCCTGTAACAAGAAGTCCTGACTTGGGCATTTCTACCCTTTCCAGAAATGTTATTCTGAAGAATACAGAGTTTCTAATTACATGCATCTGATTTTCTGCTCGTTAATAACTTAAAGATATTGTCATGAGGTATATTAAATATCTGCTGCTTATGTTAAAGCTGTCTCCTAAGGATCTGGACCTTCCTCACTAGTCAAGTCAAATTCAAGCCTGTACCCCAGAAGTAAATCCCATGTTGTTTATCTATATGCTGCTTAGCTGTCAGCCAGTCACAAATTCCTGCTTATCTCCAGGCTATACTTAGGCCTTAACCAGTATCAAAATTCCAGGACATCAAATCTTTTCTCGGCTTCTGCTGAAGTGTTTTCTATGTTGTCACAAAACAGAAGCTGATTTATCTCAGATAAGTTGTGTTTTAACTTCTGTAAAAAATGGTCAGCAGTGTTGTTTTTGCAAAAACACAGTTATGTCCCTGGTCATCCAGGATTCCTTTAGCATCTCTTTTTGGGAAGCTGTTTATGGGTATCACAAATCAACATGAGTTGGATGGGGCTTGGAAAGACCTGGTCTAGTGGAAGGTGTCCTTGCTCATCACAGAGGGGCTGGAACTGGACCATCTTCAAGGTCCCCTTCCAACCCAAACTATTCTGTGATTCTAGGAAATTATTTTGGTTTAAACTATCCTGCCCAGGTGTGTTACTGAGTAGGTTGAAGGTTTTCTACTCGATGATCAGGTGGGTTTCTTCTCTAACTGTCTAGATGCCATATAAAGATTCCTCACACACCTCTTTTGGTGAGAATAGGTTGAGTGCTCGCTTTTAGAGGAGATTTAGACAAGACCATAGAGGAAGTAGTTCTGTTTCTTAGAAAGCCTATTTTGAATTATAACAAAATCATAGCTCTTCACCTCTCTTCTGAGCAGCAGCTGTGGGAGCAATGTTGTTCAGCTTTTCTTTCAGCTGAGGAGTATGCAGTCAGCGTGATCAATGCATTACTGCTCATGGTGTGCTCTTGGATTTTGCCTGGCAGGATGTAAAAACCTGTTGGCTTCCTTGAAAATGCTGAGTCTGAGAACCCTTTAGGTTTTATTGCTTTTTTCCATACAGAAGACATTGCTGGAATGCTAATTCACAAAATCATTTCAGACTTGATTCTTCTCTGAAAGTCATACTATTCTCAGTTGTTATGTCCAAAGTCTGTAGTTGTAAGATCTTGGAAAAAGAAATCTTACTTTATTTTGCAGAGCATTGGCTGTGACGACTATCTGGGTTCTGACAAGGTGATTGACAAGTGTGGAATATGTGGAGGGGACAACACTGCTTGCAAGGTTGTGTCTGGAGTTTTCAAACACACGCTAACAAATCTTGGCTACCACAAGATAGTGGAAATTCCTGAAGGAGCTACTAAAATCAACATTACTGAGATGTCAAAGAGCAACAACTATTTGGGTAAGTTGCATCTCAGTGAATGAAGAATGCTTTGTGTGCTAGTGCAACTGGGTGGAGGTTATGCTAGGAAGGGACTTCTGAATAGTGTGAAATCAATGTCAAGAAGAAGAGAGGAAGGAAAATAAATCATTAAACAGGTGTTTTGATCAGAACTAACTGGCTGGTTTTAATTCTAGATTGATCTTGCATGACAAACATTGTAGACATGTTACAATCCATTTCCCTGTCTGTCTGCCTTGCCTTCGGTGTCTCCTATTCGGTTCCGCTGTGATGTTTCCCTTTCCCACATCATTAACCTTCAGCCAAGCAAATGCTTGTTTATGTAAAAGGCTGCTTGAGGAGAAAAGAGCATCTTCTGACTGTCAAAAAGTTTCAGTTCTTTTAAAGTGAAGTATATAAATATTTTATTGTGATAATTTGATATTGAGAAGGTATTCACAGAATCCAAGGTCTTTGTACAGTTGTTTATTCTGAAGCAGGTCCTTATTTCAAAACTATGGGGGATCCTGGTATATTTATAGTAACATGACATCTTAATGTATACTTCTAATATGTATAGTGGATTGCAAATTAGAGATCATATGGAATTTATACCACATCTACATCACTCTTGTGTGCATTTATGAGCTATGGCATTCCTCACTGTAACCTGTCATGTTCCCAGGTTACAAAGCCCTTAATTTATCTACATTTATGCATGTTTTGTAGGCAATTCTAATGAGTGGACTGGAGAGAGAAGAGTAACTTATGATTTCTATGCCAGTAGATGGGAGTTTATTACGGGGAACAGTCTGAACTGGAAAGTGATTTCCATCATTTTACCAAAAATGTTCTTCAAAATTGAAGAAATAGAATAAGCTACCCACAGTCCAAGAAGGCCAAATGTTCTGAACCTGTTGTCTGGGTGGTCTTCTCAGTTCTTCTTTGCCCTGGTCACACCCAAATGAGGTTTTGATACATTATATACCAATATACCAGCATTAGTTTTTTCATGAGAACAGTTTGTATAGCATCCATCAACATGAACTTAATTGATGATGAACTAAGGCAATAATTCTATCTAAAGAACTTCCAGAGATACTTGTACATTTGCTAGAAAATGGGTGAGAACGTAGCTGACTTGGCAGTACAGTGAAAAGTAGTCACATTACTAATATATAAAATCATGGACTTGAATGCAGTTTTTCTCTCAGATTTATGTGCCAGCATCTGAAAACAGCTGGCAGAAAAACTCCCTGAACTATATTAAAATGTCCTGAGCCACTTGAACATTTTTGTAATGGGCAGATCAGAAAGAGAGTAACATTTTTGATTAAAAATAACCAGGCTGTTGGCATGTATGGGAAAGTGACAGAGTTTTTCTTTCCCATGCTACTCCTTAACTCCTTATCCCCTGAGCTCTTGGTTTATGCTATCATCTTTTTTTTATTTTTATTTTTTTTTTGTTGTTGTTGTTTTTTTTTTGTTTTTATCCAGTTCATATGTTTTATTTAAAAGTGCTGGTGTGGATTTAGTCTGCTAAATTTGCCAGCTGCCTCCCATGTTAGGAATTCTTGAAGATGTAATTCCAGCCTAGAAGGACTCCAGCCACTCTGCTTACATTGTTACACAATAAACTTGGTTTATTGAGGCAGGTGAGTTACACCAAGAAAAAAATGAACATGTTCAAGCAGGTCAGAAAGCTGAAACTAAGAGAAAGGCTTATCAAACAAATTATTGGACAAGTGATATGGTAATTATGAAGTTGTTTTTTTGGCATATTGGTGGTCACAAATTTCTAGCATTCAGACTTTAGACATTTTTATAGTGCACATAACACTGATGGAGCTGGGAAATTTGAAAACTTAGATCTGACATTTACTGTTTTCTCTATATTTATGGTAATAAGCAGAAGTCTCAAACTTTAAAAATAACAGTGAAAACAAAGTTATTCTTATGCTGCAGCAGCAACAAGAAAAATAACCCAGCAGCCATTCCTTTAAGGATGCAGTTGAGTGCTTTGCAAAACTGGATTTTCAATACCCTGTTCCATCATAACCCAGTTGTAGCCATCAGAGCTGCTGGTAAGCACCATTCCTTTTCTTTTTTTCTAAGGAGCATAAGTTGGTTGCTTTCGGTTTTCCTTTCACTTTGTACAATTTTGGTTTTTTCAGTGCAAAATTGGAAGTCAGTTCAAGGTCATTAAGATGTATTTTTTATTTAGGAGATGACAGCAGATGTTCCTGGCTATCAGTGACCTTTTCTTTCTCTGTTTAGGAGATTGTGTTGAGTTCCATGTGGTTTCATTGAGCAGGTTTACCAAGCTCCATGCTTTCATCAAGAGTACTGAGCAAGTGAGCAGTCAGGAGAATGTTCACAAGGAGGTATTTCTTTAAAATCAGGAGGTGCTGGAAAAAGCAGCCAAGAATATGAGTTTCAAACTCGGCTAAAAGTCATCCAAACATTTGAAAGCTTCTCCATACTGTTTTTGTGAACTATTTTGTAGTAGTCTATTGCTCATTTTTGTAAAGCCTGTGACCCTTGTAAAAAGCACAGTTCTAATGTTTCTGCTGAATATGATTCAGCTTACTGAGGTTTGCTCATTTTGAGGACTGCATTTTTGGCTTTTACATGCAAGCTGGAGCCATTCCAGAATAAAATTTTTAAGTTCTTGCCACTGGAAAACAAAAAACTTCTGTTAAAAAGAGAAAGCATGACAATGGTATATAAAGCTTTAAAGTGTTTCTAGAATGTTATCTGGGTAGTCAGAATATGCAGATTAAAGGAGGTGGGCTGTTGGGTTGTTCATGGAACTTTCTAATTAACTTTTCATAAAATCCCAATTTGGAATTAATTTAATTTCATACAGCACAAGTAGAGTATTTTCTTCTCCCCCTGCCCAAGTATTACAATTCCTATTAGACTTTCCATTTTTTGTAGATCTTTACTGTAGGAAGAGTGTCAGTTGTGATAAGGGAAAATATTTTAGCAGTCGAGAATGGGCTGCAACATTAACTTGTGTTTCTTAGTGAGCCAAAACAGACGAACTCTAATAGAGCCATGAGGTGTATCTGAAATTCCCCAGGAAACATCTCATGCTGCTTTTCTAATGTGTGTTTGTTGGGAAAGAAAGCAGTCCAGTTTTGGAGTGCTATATAATAGCTATTCATAAGTATTAATGATGTATTCATCAGTCTGTTTATTTACTCTAGTATTTTTTTACAGTTAAGAGAAGAAGCTATGCATTACCCACTCTACAAAGTGTAGAGAAGGCTATAGGCTGTGCAGCCCTGAGCTGTGTCAGAATGACTTCTCAAAGTAGTTTTCAGCAGTATTTTCTTACTGGCTCATGTGTAACAGAACTGCTGACCTTGGACAGACATTTCCATTGGCAAAGCACTTCTGTCACATGCTAGAGACAAAGACATACTTTTTATCCCACTGGTAATCATCAGCTGGACAGTTCTCCTACACTGACATGGGAAACTTGCCACTGAATTAAGCAGGACCATGATACCTTCAGTGGGACCAGCATGTTAAAGTGTTTGTGCTGCAAAACACGTGGGTTGGAGTATAAATACCTCTGCATCTTTGGGATTGGGATTTGAGATAATGGCAGAATTTAAAGCCAGATAACACAGATCTGAAGTGATTATTTGGAATGTGCTTTTTTTTTTTTGCATATTGTATCTTGAGAACTTAATTGAAAGAAGCTGGTTGCTTCCATATCCATAGCCTCATCAGCAAGGCAATCTGCTGGGAAGGAGGTGTCAGTTGTTCAAATTAAAATTTAAAATTAAAACTAAAAGCTTAATACAGAATGGAAAGATAACAGTGCTTGAGAATGTGTTAGTTTTGATATACACTGCATAATGAACTTTCATTGTCTGTGACTCAAGGAGCAGTTTGTTTCTGGGGCAGTTGTCTGAGTGTGGAGCCCCGTGAGTTTGGGATGGAGCCCAGGGAAAGGTACAGACACACTGCACGGGTCCATGGCCCTCTGTCCAAGGGGAGGTAGATAATTCCCACTGTGGGCAAGACTCCCAACACTTTGTTTCTTACCTGAATGCTGTTTGCCACAAAGATGTTTGTTTCCTAGTGAATTTATTTCACTGCTATTTGTAAAGCTCCTTACAGTTCCTTCAGGGAATATATCATGTATTTCAGTTTTGTTTTTCATGGAGTTAAGTCATTTCAGCCACTAAATGAGATAGAGACATCTTTGGATCGAATCCATTTTCCCTGCTTTCTGTAAAATGATATTCTGCTATTTCTAGCATCTTCTATTAGCACATGCCAGTATACACAATTGATTATTAAAATAAAAGTTGCAGATTAATATTTTTTTAAACAAAAGGCCAAGGGAAGTTAATAGCATTTTTGTGACTATTGGTGTGCCTGAACATGAATATGGTATTAAGGAATTTGTTGTATGGAAACAATAGGGCCTGATACTGATAGGGCTGTGAAAAGGTGCTCTGAAAACCATTTTTATTCTGTATTCTCTGTAGTAGATAACATTCAAACAGTACATCTCATGATGAAAGATTGTTAGCAACTCTTGAACTTAAAATAACATTTAGAAATCACTTTAGGGATTCGAAATTACAGCAAATAAAGGTGTTAGATTAGAATACTGGCAGGAATTTAGAAGATAAACATTGCTAGAGGCACTGCTGTGATGATGTGAAGAGCTTTATAACATATACTCAGTGATTTCCTTCATGTGATGCTTATTAAATCAACTAATATACTTCAAAATATACTTTTAAAATGACTGTTAATGATTTTTTAGGTTTTATTTTTTACACAACATTAAATGTTTCTGTGCAAAATAAGAGTGCAATGAATATAGTAGTGTGGAGGAGAGGATGCATGTTGAAATTTTCAGGGTTTGGAATGAACTTCATACAAGGGATCTGCTTATAATAAACTGTTCCAGTGCTTCAGTGTGCCTTGGGTTCAGTGGCTCTCCCACTGCACGAGAACTGTCAGGTAATTCTTACATTTCTGTTCAAAAC